GAGTATTTTTGTGTGGAAGTGTTACATAGCATTGTTTTGGACCAAACTGATCCGATACCTGTTAAATATAAGGTTGTGGTAATGGTGTGAACGATATAATGTATTTGATAAGATAATGTGTATTGTAGGTAAAATAAAGGAAAGAAGATTAAAACACATTAGTCTCAAAGATTTTAGAAATTGCCAATATTTCTGTGAGAAGTAGCGAGCAATTGAAAAACAGAGACTGCCCCAGATGTGGGCCTTTCTTTTCATGCTAAGGGCCTTAGTATAATTTCTGTCACAAATCACTACCTACAAGAGTCATTTTAAAGCCCTTCTAGCTAAATCGCTGTGATCTAATCTAAAAGCCCCAAATACTTGCCAAAATCTGCAGTCACGGTGAAAGGCGACACGGACACTTTCCTTTAGCTCTTCAGCAGTGGGGTCTTCTCAGGCTTCACCACAACCAGGCTTCACCACAACCAGAAGAGGCCCCAGCGTGGGACATGGAAGGTGGACTTAGGTGAGTAACAGACAGGTTTGGAAAGGTCTTTTTTTATTTATTTGTTTTTCACAAAAGAGGCTGAGAATAGGTGGAAGGGAAGACAGAATTTATCCAGAAATGGCATTTAGGTAACCTCAACCTATGTTTTTTCTATCATATGCTCAGTTTAAATTTCCATGGTCAGTGACAGATTTGCTTTAAAAACAAATCATCCAACCACCTAAAAGTACAATCAGAGGTCTAAAGGCTACTTTACAGATCCCAAATCTCCGTCCACTTCAATTCATAAACCTTTAACACAAGGATAAGGATCTTTATTTTAACCATGTGACCACAATTTTCAAATCTCATTGGACACTGCAAAAAATAACCATCACTTTTTTGAAAATAAGGATCCTTATCCTGGTACGTTCACTTTATGAACTGAGCCTATCGTATGGTTTTCTTTTTTGTTAGAACATTTTATTCTGTTCTGTTGGCCACAGCACAGTGTGATGCAGTTGTACTTTTCCGCACCATTCAACGCTGAAAATAAGTACTGCATTCCATACTATTTTCAGCAAGCTCTTTGGCAGCACAGTGGTGTGAACTGTATGACTGCCTTGCCCTTGCTGTGGGACTGTGCTGGGCAAATCTGACAGCGCAGTCCCAACATACTTGATGTGAATGGGCCCTTAAATAATGCTATTAACATTACTTAGTAACTATTCAGCACAAGCAGAGACATATCTGGATAAGTACACTAATGACAGTGTAAAACCAATATTTAACAGGTTAAAGATCCTATCCAGATAGAGCCCTCAGCTGTGTGGGACTTGCACAGGATCATTATTAAATCTTCATTAAGCTGAGCTACCCAGGAAGCAGTCTGCACAGAGATGTGACATATGTTCTCCTACTGGCAGACAAGCACTATAGTTCTGGGTCAACTGCTGATAAGGTTGCTGATCCTAATAAAACAAAGCTTGGCCAAGCAGAAACATCATTTGTTCCATCACTAGGTTTATGACATAAAATCATGCTCATTGTGGCCAAGAAATTATCTTCAAGATTTGAATATTCTTCAAAACAAATAGTTGGCACAAATTAATTTTTGAGATTCCTAAACCATTTAGAATTAGCTACAGAATTCTATTTGCAATTAAAAGGGAAAGAATTGTCACTTGGAATATCATCTCCATCTTTCCAAAAATGTAATACTGTAAGTCAGAGCACAAAAATAACGTTGCAGATCTTAAAGCAGGTTTTCAACTTTTGTGTTCATGGTGCGGTACTAGTAAGCATTTTTAGAATAGAACCCAAACTCAATAATAAAGTTTAGAAATATAGACTTAACCATTTGTCTGACTCTGCTTGAGTGATCAAATCAGTTGTGCTTTTTGGTCACAGAACCCAGTCAGCTCTGTCCAGTGGCAATAGATGAAGAACCCTGAACCTTGTAATAGATAATTCCAGCAGTCTATTACGTTAGGAGGCAGCAGGGGAAGGAAGGAGCTTATAAGTATTTTTTTTATTATGGGGTTAATATCCAATTTAAAACAGCTACACAGACAAAGTTCATAAATGCTGCTCTTTTAGACAGGTTACGCATAAATGTAGCTAAGCCCTTACTTTGTAACAGGGAAAACAAGTACTGTTAGTGGGTTTTAAGGACCTGGTTTGAGCATGGCAACATTGAAGCATTTGTCTATTGTACACAGTGGTAAGTTATCAATTTTTATTTGTTAACCTAGAGGATAACCAGACAGCATGTCTACTCCTGCTAGGAGACACTGCAAGATTGCTAAATTCTTTACACACAAGACTCGAGACAGCATGGCTTTACCTTCATTTTGTCTGTCATCTGTTAATACCAGTGATGTGCAGGGTCTTGGTGCCCATGGGAATTCACCCAAACCTTTGGGCAAGCAGGGCTAAATGTACAGCAGGGAAACCGGCGTTTGTTTTGTACAAGTGATCTCGCCGATGTCGCCGAGATCACTTGTTTGCAGCCTGCATACACGGGGGCGCATTGAGGACCCTGGCATTGAGGCAGCAGAAAGAGTAAATCCGGCCCTGAATACATACGTAATATTTGCTAACAAACAGGTGTAGGTCTCACCAAAATGCTGGGACTTGTCTCTTCCTTTTGGGTGACTTCTCTCGAGATGCATTTATCCCTGCCAGACAACATAGCCAGATCCATGACCTCACTATTCTTATCTGCAGGTAAAGCAATGCAGCTTGGCCTTCAACCTGCCCCGACATGTGTAATGCATTAGAGCAGGAGTCGGCAACCTTTTTGATATAAAAATTGTCAATTTACAAACAGACACCCAGCGTGCCAGGGACAATACAGTGCCATAGACCTTAGCTTAGCCCCAATTCCTGCACCTTTAGACCTCAGATTAGCCCCAATTTCTGAATATTCAGAAATGCAGGTGTTTTCCATGTATACCTGCTGCAGCTGGCAATTCCACCATGAGGTGTAAGAGGGTTGGGTTTTATCACGTAACAACATCCACAGTCGCAGACGGGCCTACGCTGGTACTGGGAGGACAGCCAGCACCTGCACATCAGTGACATCCAGTAGCCTCTCTGAAACAACATGGAGGTAAAAGGGTCACGGGCACAGAGGGACAAGGAAGGCTTTTTGAATGACATACTATAGAGCTGTCAATTAAAGCCTACAGCAGGGGCACTGTATTTTAAAGGGAGCAGGGGCCCATACAAGGATGCTCTGGCAGGCTAGTGTGAGCCTGCACGCATGACATGCCACGTGATAATCTTCTCTGTGCCATTGAAAATTACATTGAATGCCTGCCCCAGCACTCATGCCCTAAACTGCCTATCCTGGCAGTAGAGCTTCACAGCTCAGCGTTTCCATTGGTTTTACAGTCTGAGCCATGCTGTGGTTCTTTACCAGCTATGTTGTGTCCTATAATGTGGTTCTTTTATATCTACCTGGAGTTCTACTTCACCCTATGAGCAGCTC